TAAATAAGGGTTAATGTTACGTATGGTTCTAAAATGGCCGCGCTTCTGACTGTTTCAAGGTCTATATAAAAAGGTCAGGACACGCGTGATCTACTTCTTGAGCTGTCATTTTGGGTTTTTTTTTGAGTTGCATGTTTTGAGCAAACTTGTACGAGCAGTCAGTTTTATATGACATTAATTAAACTAAAATTGCATAAATCCTGTAATTTCCAGTAAAAACTATAATAATAATTTCGGATGATTATGCAACCCCAATTTTATGTAACGTTTTCGTCAAATAGTTTAAAAGAAACAAGCATTCTTATCTTTCGCTGTCATGATTGAAATTAATTAAATAGGTACTAAAACTGATGCAATTACATATATACCACTTCGTAAAGNACAACTTTTTTTTTTCTCATACACATACACTTGTAATAAAATTTTACGGTGGGGGTCAATGTGAGGCTTTCGAAAGTAGTTGGGGTCGACGGTTAAAAAAGTATGATGACCCGTGTTTTAGACTATAGCAATAGGTGATACGTTGAGAGAAATTCTCTTAATCAGTAAGCACTTGTCCAAAAAGCATACCCACTAGGTAAACAATACATGAGATTTCGTAATGTTTAAGAAAAATTACACGCTCCTTTAGAGTTTTTTGAAGTGCCGTCTAACAGAAAGTATTAAACATTTTTTTTCTTTACAAAATTATTTTCGCATTCTAATCATAGTCTCTATATGAATTCTGATGTGAATCCGGTTATCGGTTACAGGTATAATGTAATTTGAATAGGGATATTTTAACTATGGCCACTTCTGTAAATGTAAACTTATTTGATTTTCTTGGCATCAACAAAACAGGATATCGTTTTATTATCATCATCGGTCAGCCAAACCGACAATGAAAGCATGGATTCTTGAAATAGCTTCATTTCTTCAAATTTTTTGATCGCCAAAATTTACATATGAAATTTTCACTTTGGTAGGTAATTGCTTTAATGAAAGGTAACTTTTCTTTATAACAAGCTTAACTCACAATGACTTTACGTACAGTATTATTAAGCTCACTTATTGTTTGTATTGTAATTATATATTATTAAGCTATTTATTTATGTATTTCCTTAAATTGTTATTATTATTAAATGTTTCAGTGCAAAGATTATAACATGACTTCTTGTAATATGTACAATAAGACAAAAATAATTAAAAAGAAATTATTAATACCAGATGAAATAGAAGTTAGAACAGGTTTCGTAAGTATAAATAAATTTAACGTATAATTTTTTTATCTTTTTACAATTTATAATGATGGTACATTGTGTGGACTATATATAATGTTGTAGTATTTCAAATGCAATATGAATTTGTATGTATATTTAAAATTCACTGTATTTTACTTTGAAAATATTCGTATCTTAATTTACGTGGTACTTTTAAATGATTTTACACTCATCGTCGCTTTTCTTGAATAAATCATTAATACCGGTTTACCCACTTTTTGTATGCTAAATTGTGCTTTTATTATATATTTAGTGGACAATGCGAAATTAGCCGAAAACCAAGGGGCCGATTACGAATGACCAAATACTCAGCAACAGCTCGGTGAGACCCGATCTCATTGTCTGTTGGATGGCTTCACGATAAATTATAGGCGTGATTGCAAGATCTATCTGTCGTCATGATGCTGACACCAATTACGATAGAGTTAGACGCGTCCTAACTCGCAAATTGTAACCAAAGGGTGAATAAGAGGGTGTAAAATTATCGACAGGGGAGGGAGATCGCGAACAAGTCGATAAGTGTCCTATGTTTGATAGAGACAGGTAGTTAGATTAACGAATAAAAATATAACTTTTACAAACGTCTAAATTTAAGAGTACGCAGAAATCAAAAGATACATCTACAAAAATAAGGAATATAGCCTACATTTAAGGCTACACGACAAATTATCTATGCGCTCCGTTTGCGATCTATTTGCTATTTGCTCATGAAAGAGTTTACAAAAATATATCAGAGAGAAATGAGCTGTCCTTGCTGGTCCACCGCGATTTGAGTTTTCGCCGCCCTTTTATCGATTTAGCTTTTTTTGGCGATGCTTCTGCAGGTGTGCGTTCAGAAATGAGCCGATGATAACCTAAAAATGCCGTTATATGGCGCTGTTATGATTATATTTGATTGGAGACCTTACGCTTCCTTCTATTCATACGTAAACAATCGACATACTCTACCTTTATCGTTTAGTACTCGGATGTTATATTTATCAGCCAGTTGTTGATAGTACGGGTGATATTCACTCTGTTTCCTGTTCAATGTTTTCTTTATTGTCGCAACGGAGAAATAGGCTTAAGATTTTCCTAAATTTTACGCAAAATAGCTCTTCGATTCTCTGGAAAATAGAAATCGCGAAAACGTGTACGTCGAACGTTCAGCGCCGCCCCTCTTGTGAGCCTAGAAGTTTGACACTTGGCGTTTAGAACGTCGAGCACGATTCTACTGACGTTCCAAACGCCATTGTCAAACTTCTAGGCTCACAGGTGGGCGGCGCTGAACGTCCGACGTACACGTTTTCGCTTTGATAAGGTCGGCCGAAACCTCTCTATTAGTTATTTTAGAAAGTGTTATCTTGCCGTTACTTAAGCTTTTTCCTATTTTGACATTTTAAAACGTTGCATTTTTGTCTTAATGTAATAAAAATGTTTTTGTTCAACATTCACCATCTGTGCATGCCGAATGTCGACATTTGCCGGTGTAAGTGAGAAATGATGATATTTAGCAAATATTTCGTACATACACGAAACGACTGTGTGAATGCTGACATTCACTGGAGAATGTTGACATTCGCCAGATATCGGTCATTCACAGTAACATATATATACAATAAGGACCCATCTAATGGGAAATGCAGTTGTTACTCACCTTTTACTAATTGCAAGTTTTCAAAGTGCACAAGACATGATGCATCAAAATATACGCGACATGCTGTAAATCTTTAACCTCTAATTAACGAAATACAATGCAACGGATAATATTCGAATTTTGTAATGATGTAGGCGAGAGGTAAACGAACCTACTCCTAGATGACGTAACCATTTAGTTTTGATTATATGGGCAAAATTTGCACTGTGACAATATGCCTTTTGTGACAACTATCCCGCTCTCCCCTACTGTAGCGTAATCAGTTCATACCGAAACCTGTCACTCAGTATATAAGATGTACTTTTTTTATTATTCGGTTCGTCATAAGTGCATTTCGGCTATGTATTTTATCAGTCTGAGAAAAAACTGTACATATGAAATGCAATCAACAAGCCAAAATAAAGTATAATTATATGAATTCATATATAACCCAGGAAATAAATTGTTTCAAAATATAAACGTAATGATAGTCATATCAGTTCTAAGAAATTAAAAACGATTATGGAAACTAGTAAAAATATTAGACATTTGAACTTCACACAAACAGCAAATTATTGCCATTTCATTAGAAAATAAAAGTCTATTTTCAATTTTCTGATATATAACGGAGAAAATACGACGATTTCTGAGAAAATCATATGTCAAGAGTTATAATTTCAAACTCAGTGAACCATGAAATATCGAAAAATTCTGGTGTTTCCTATATGTATGAAAATATTAGTGTGTATGGATGTCACGACTTTATTTACATTATTTGAAGCTTAGTAACTTCTGCAAGTCTCTGCTGATAATTTGTGAAATTTTGCAGGGAGATATTAAGAGAAATAATGAGATTAAATTTTTCTAGTTATGACTCGAAAGAGTGGGAAGTTTGTCAAGTAGGGTCGGTATGAATGACGATTATAGTGGTTATTCGTATTTATAATTTTTCATAAAACTTATTCCATTTTGCCATTCGGTACGATAAACGTATCAACTAAATAAAGATGGAATAACGCCAAGTGTTGACATAAAAACCCATCTTGTGTTAGTATATGAAAAAAATTAATATTTTAAATGCAAAGTAATCTCCCACATAGAACGTAACGATACGCATTCTGTTTACAGTTTAGTTCAAAAAAATTTTATATATTCTAATAGTTTTTATTAAAAACATTTTTAAGTCAACCAGTCATAATTTGCTTTAGATACATTTTTTACAAAGCATTTTTAGATATTTTCAGAAAAAAATGTTCGTATAACGAAGAAAAAGAATTATTAGTTAAATATTTAAAGTTAAATTTAAACTATAAATTTAATAGATTTTCAGACAATAATATCTAGAATTAAATAGTAATAATAACTTGTTTTCTAGGAAAATAACAGAGACAAGGACAAAAGATCATCTATTCAGAGATATATTGACCTCTTAGCAGATGGCCTTCATTCAAAGTATGTTTTCTTTCATAGTATACGAAAATTATATTAGTTGTGTTAAATTCATTTTATTTGTTTACTTTTAGGTTGACATTCGAATTTTACGGACACAAGGTAATAAATTTATATTCAGCAGTTATACTATCTTTATACGTATTTTAATAATTTAGTTTTATTCTTTAGGGAGAACTCGCCATTATTGTTGAAAATATCAGAGAAACTTACATCTCTTATTCGTCCATAAGTTACATTCCAACTACATTTGCAATACGTGCTGCAAGACCTTTAGATAAAGCCTTCATCTTGGTAAAACCTTTCGATGTAATGGTAATGTTTAAAAAATTATTATTTATTAATTATTTTCTCTATATATTAAAAAACATATTTATCACTATACAAATCGAAATTTATACGGCCAAAGAAGTATTAAACATTTAATAACTTATCAAATTCACTCATTAGATGCAACACTTGATCCATCTGCCAAAAGAAGTATGTTTCCAGGAATAATATTCATACTTTATTTAACTCATAAATATGTACAGTACATGTAGATATTTCTCATCAAAGTGATAGATATTAGAAAAAAGTCGAAAAATCACGCGGCCAGAAGGATAACGAAGCACAAACTCGGATCCAACTACAATAGTTCAGTGGTGTCATCGATTTTGCCATTGCTGGGCTAATACAAATCTATCTGTTATGTACCGAAATAAAATGTATTTTTGATGTAATTTGTAATGAAAAAATCAAAAGTTTCATTTTCTTAACAAGAGCAAAGACGCCTACGATTTAGCTTTCTTTAATTTTAATACTTTATAAAAGAATATACTCTACGACCACTCAAAAACATTCACTCAAAGAAAGATGAAAATTTTGTAAAAAGATGGTCGTTGTTTGGAAGTTATTTTATATACAGGAAAACTTTTATGAATATGCTACAATATACAGATGATCGTTATTGCAGGTTTGGCTATATAAACATTGATATTTTGAAAAATACAAAATAATTATAAAAGTTATGTATTTCAGATTTGGATTTGTATTCCTCTCTCTTTCCTTATCATCTTGTTAACTATGTATGGAATTATGAAAAAAGAGAATGAGTATCGAAACATGGAAATGCCAAAATTTTACATTTTATTTTGGATTATATTGAGAAACTTTCTTCGACAAGGTGAGTATTATTATTTTCTGAGTGACGTCAGCTTTAATAAACCGAATGTTTCACGAAAATAATGTGTACAAGTAAACTAGTGAAATAATTTTTTTGTCAGTAAAAATTATGATATAATGATTTTTAATATTACGTGATGATAATTAGTGTCATAAGTATGTTTACATTTGTTCGTTTATAAGTTTTTATTTACTTTTATTAATTTTTAAGAGAAATTTACAAAATCGTTAGCTTGTATTTACGAACGAAAATATTATTTTAATTAATTTGACATTTTTAGAGTTTTTTATGCTCAATTGATGGGACCACTTTCATATACCACAGAAAAATATCTATTAAGAAACCGATAATTTTCAAAACAAAAACATATTTATTTCTTTTGTAACTACTTAACTATTATTTTTGTTTTTTATCATTTTTATTTTTTAGACACAAGCATAAATCGTTATGTTTTTATTACGTTTCGTATTATGTTTGGCTGTTGGATCTTGACTGCATTTGTCCTGACATCAGCATACGTCGGAACTTTGCCATCGTTCATTGTTAATCCTGGAACCGAAACCATTCCTCAGACATTTCAGCAATTGGCTCAATCGGTGAAAGAAGGACGATACAATATCACTTTTTTTACGTGGGGTCATGAATCATCTTACTTTATGCAACTTCATTCCGATGTACGTATCATTTTATTAATAATAATTGTAGCTATATATTTAAAATACAAAACTATACAAAAGAATCGTTTAATATGATATTGAGTGTAAATTAAGAATGAAAATTCACAAAAAACAAATGATTTTATAATTAAATAAGTGTCAGTTGTCAACATTACAGAGCTGGAAACGTGACAACCCTTTTCTGAGATAATAAGTAAAGTTTTCAAATGTTCAAATTTCCGGAATTGTTATTCACGTTATTATATAATTAAGATTAAAGAAACTGAGATTAACCACATTATTCTCCTTGAAAACGGAGTTAATACCTCATTGTGAACAATCAATAGGCCTAAATATAATTAATTTTACATTTATAATTTAAGTTATCAATATATTGTATTTCTAAGGAATATGAAGCTCTTAATATTTATTAAATTAAAGTTACTAAGTTTTTCGATTATAACATTTACATAGGTTTTAACTTAATTAATTATTGAAACACATTATTTATGAATAATTTAGCGGAAATAATAAATATGATATTAACCAGTTTGTGTTGTAATGTACTGTAATGCTAATAGACTGCGGCACTTGTTACATATAGTTTTATACTTTTATAATTGAAAAAGATATTCTTTAATATTTATAATTTTATATTAACATATATATTACATGTATTTAAATTGACAAAAAGTGTATAATGTACTTAAATTATTATTTTGTCGGAAAATTGAAGTAACAGAATTATGCAAATATAAATTAATGTGGGGATGTAATGTTAAATTAATAGAAAGTATAAAAAGTATTATTAAATATGATTGACATTGTAGTACGTTTATAAATTAATATATGATATACACTTAAAATGGAAAAGTAAAAATCTTAAATTAGGCCTATATATTTATTTAGGCTTATATTATACATAAAAGTAGAGAATCATATTATATAAGAGAAGAGAATCACAAAAATTTAATTGTGTATATATTGTAAACAGAAGAATTTTATTAGTTAAATTAAATTTAAATAAGGAAATATCTTTAAGTGTATAAGATTGCTCAAGGTTATCCTGAATGCAATAAGAGTGTATTTTGTAGTTAAAATTTATTTTCCATTTTTTGAGGGTGTTTGTTGAACATTGACATTAATTATTCTGTCAGACTTATGATAAAACGTATCGGTAACCAGCAGATAAGCCCGGTGTGCTCGGGTAAAAAGTAACGATAGCGAAGATTAGGATTATTATATTACTGTCAATCTTACCCATTTTCACAGAATGCTACAATTAGGTCCCCCTCTTTTTAGACTAATTAGAAACTTTTTAGATGTGTCTAAAAATATCCCGCAAAATCGCAAAAATATGCATCTGCGCGTGTAAATCTTGCACGTTGCTTTCTCGTAACACTTTCCTTGTTACTTAACACTTCCTTTCTTGAAGCCTTAATTAATCCTTTTCCTTTCCCCCGCGGGGGGGAATATCGAAAAATCCTTTCTCAGTGTGCGTTCTCATGACATGCCCTAACTGTGTACCAAATTTCAACTTTCAACTCTTAACCGTTTGGGCTCTGCGCTTATTAATATTATCAACCTGTCTCGATCATATATATAATAGCTCTTAACAAGTTATATAATCACCAGGAAAGACCTAATGTTAAATATAGAAATTTCTTTGTATCAGATATTTATACGCTAAGTTGTATATTTTATTAAATATTTTTGTTTGGATTATAAAAATATTTATTTTAATTTACTGTAGTTAATGAAAATGGATGGATAAGGTGGTTAAAACCATTTCTCAACCCAGCTAACCTATTTTCGGCATGGCCTTATCCATAATGAGCTTGATAAATAAAGGCCATCTTAGTTCTGACATGTCAGAAAAAATTAAAAAATAAAATAACCATATTTTAAAAAAAATATAAAATATATCATGTATATGTATTGAGAGTCAAGGCAGTGACTCCGTCCAAAGACGTGACATTGTTGTTTATAAAATCAAATGCCAATTAGTAATTTTTCGTAAATTAAAATAAATATTGAAGAAAAAAATTTAAATGGTTAAATTAAGAAAAATTGATCGCGAGAGTAAATCCTATTTAATGTGTATTATTAATGGAACAAATAATTCATATATTTCTCTATAATGTCATAAAACATCGTAGATAAATGGCCAGCTACATGTAAAATTGTATCTTTTGATTTAACTTGAAACACATAATATTGTTTTTATTTTTGTATTTATCAGAGTATCCATCGTAAATACTCTAGCTGAATCTATACCAACGAAATCATTGCTGCGTTGAATGCATGACACAGTTAACTCACAACTGAAACGTTTATAATATTTTTAAAATAATAATTTCATTTAAATATGTTTATACATAAATTTTAAAGCATTATGACTTTGAAACTGCAAGTTAGATCTTCTATAAACATACTAAAGTTAAGTGTGTATATTAATTTACATGAAGTTCATTTATACATATAATTGTAGACGGACTTCAGAACGAAAATTAAAAATGAGATCATCGAAATCTTTTGTGAAAATGTTAAACAATATTGGAGTAGCAAACCGATTGAAAAAGTAATTAATGGAACACACGCCATCCTTGCACCGAAAGAAAGAATCGAATTGAGCATGAGCAAAGGACAAAAAAAAAAGGTTTTCATTTCAGAAGACAAACTTTTTACGAAATTCCATTTCCTACAAATAAATTTAGTCAGAGTGAATTATGCTGAGGAAATTTGCCAAACGTAAGTACAAAAAAATCTGTTTCTATCACTTACTATTTTACAGCGGATAATACGTTAATCTGCAGACGATTCTTTCTGTGAAAAGAGTCGTCTGCAGATTAACGTCAGACGGTGCGTCATTTCAGCTAAACCAATTAGTAGAGGAATAGGTGGTATTATGTAACACTGCGGGTATTATAAAACCACTCTATTTCGAACTGTTAATAAAGGCGAACTGTAGCGGATTGTGGCTGAACTAAACTAGGCAGACATCCATAGCAAGTTGAAAACCCATTTCGCTTCAGTTAAACGGTAGTGAATCAGCGAATTTGTGTTTTTCAAAATTAGCAAGTTCTAAATGCTAAGTGAATTTAATTATTTTATAAATACAGTAGATCCCCCTATAAGACGGTAGATACGTTCTGTTCTTTATGAATCAATTTTGTAGGAATCATAGTTTACGGACTACGGCTGTTTGAAAGGTTTTCTTTCATAAAATTAATCGATTCTAGACTAATTCGACTCAACATTTCCAAAATACGTATATTTTTTTTAAAATAATCCGTATAAACTACGTTATAAACAAAAAATTGTAGGATTACTTACCGAGTGTGTACCCTTTGACTACGCTCGTTGCTAAAGCTTGGTTTCGTCGCGGAACAGCGCATCAAATTGCGGCCGCGATTTCTGATATTATTTTTCTGCGAAAACTTCGTTGACCTTTGGAGACATCCTTAATATAAATAATTTTTATGGCCGTTAAATAAGAAATGTTTCTTTCACAAGAAATGTATAAAATTACAGTACTGGACAGACGATAGGTCGCCTAACTCGCCGTAGCGTGACGCTAGACGGCGAAAAATATATATTTAATTATAATAAAGTTACAATAAATTAAGTTAATATATAATTATATATACAGTACCTAATTTATATATAATTAATATATAATTATATGTACAGTACCTAATTTATATATAATTATATGAACAGACGATACTAAACTCAATTTATCCGCCTAAACGTCCGTAGCGTGGTGCTACGGATGGCGGGAAAGTAGTTCGGCTGCCCGATGACGTTTTACGTATTATAGGAGTTATTTTTACCGTTGTTTACGGATACTGCCACAATTTTTATAGGAATCGTAACTATAGGAAACGGTTTTATAGGGGGATCTACTGTATAAATCGTGTAGTTGTAGGTTCACTGGTGCGTGTATTCCGTTCCAGAGACTTAGGGGTACATATTAATCTGTATGATTTTCACGTTTTTAAAGTTTGGTGTCGACAGGAATAAATTTAACCTAAGATGGAGATGCGTGAAATACAGATTCCATTGATGCTTTTAATATGGAACCCAACTCCTCTGGAAACCCAACTCTTCCGAACTCTCTATTTGCAAGCAGACATTCGTCCAGAGTAATTTGTGAAAAAGACATTACGTAGAAAGTCAATTCTTCCTGAGAATACCGAAAAACAGCTGCTGGAATATACAGTTGATGGAGGTGATATCTTTCTATTATAAAACATTTTTTTCGATAAAATACATTGGAGTAAATGATTTTGTAATTATTTAAATTCTTTTACTTTCCTATTTGTTTTTGGATACATCAAAGTATTTTTTGAAAACAAACAGTAATGTTTTATATTATTACCTAATTTTTTCTAAACTTACTTTCTGACATTTTGTACAAAAGCGTTCAAAATCCATACTTATAGTAACACTAGCGAAAAATCCAATTAAAAACATTTAGTTTAATAGTTACCAGTACTTTTCGCACAAAAAATGTGAGTGTAGTTTTGACACCTTGTTTACAATTCACTGAAATGTTATTGGGGTTCCATAATACCACCTTCTCCTCTACTACAGTGAACTTTGTGGTGTTGCAAAACCACAACGTAAATCTTCCATAACAAATGAGAAAAAAACCGAAAGTAACTTGCTACAACTAAGCGATCAATAACTAATACTCATTAATTAATACACAAGTTGTATTTCTAATTCGTGTATAAATTATACAATTATATAAATAACCCAAATGATCTGCATTCTTCCTGAGTATATGCCAGGGATTCATACAAGAACGTTTTACATATGCAAAACTCCGCAAATGTTCAAGTCTTATATATAACGGCGTACACATAATTTTTATAAGTTTTATATGAATCTATAAAATATTTAAAACACACAAATATTGAAGTTTTACTTTTTTTTACAAATTTTTTGTTATTTAAAATTAAATTTATTGTCTAACTTTAAGCTTGCAGAAGTTTAATTTACCGTCTATGATTTATTACAATGTCATGTTTAAAAATAATTATTGATAGCTTATACTGTATGTATATGATCAACAAGAAACATAAATTCTCATCTCTTCGCTAACATCATAACGTCTTTTTGTATAAGTGAAAACTGAAAAGCAGTTTTTGTTTTCATACTAAAATTAATTTATATCATATTAAACAAATATATTCATGAGATTTGAATATGGTAATAAAACCAGCAAAATTCATACTTTATATTTGATTTTCCCACTTTTTATGCACTATTGTTTATGTGTTATACACCAGCAATAAAACATGTAAATTTTAATGTTGGATTTCCAATGATTAGGTATGAGAAAGAGTTAAGTTCCATAGTGTTACAAAAAACCGGGCTTATGAACTCTCCGAGAAAAAAAAATTTTTTTATTTTTAGAATGTTTTTTTAGGTCTCCAAATTGTTTCAAAAATTTTTACACGTGCGAAAAAATTTTTTTGCGATTTTAATTTACCTTTAATGTCGCACAATTAATGCTTAATTGTTTTTTAATGCGATTTTTTTTTATCGAATTTAATTACTTGTTCTAAAGTTGTAGGGCACGGATTTTACTTCGGTAAAGTTATTTAAAGCTACTTTCTGATTTCAAAAACGACCTCCAATAGTTTATTAATTTTTTTAGTTAATAGATTTTATTGTATATAAGTTTAATTATATCGTGGGAGTCGGAAATCGCAAGAAAAATTTTAATTTTTTAAAAATATTTAAAAATATACCTCCAGCTAGTATACACCCTACTTTAAACTCTTGTCCTCCCGAGACGTGTATGAGAATGTTCCGGGAAATCCAACACCAGATGTTCTCAATGCCATTCAGCTGTGTAAACAATGATTCATATTTCTAATACGTTTCATAACTCAAGTAATGTACTCTACTTGTGCAGAATCTAAGAGAGGAAACTAATTGTATGTATTTATATTTAACAGGATAAATCGCATTGAACAAAGTGGATTATCTGAGAAAATTCACAGAGACGTTCTTGAAGAAAAAAGAAGAAACGACTCCTACGATGATAAGACAATCGATAATAACGAACATCCTCTGAAAACGGATGATATTATTGGTCTAATCTATTTATTACTTACAGGATATTTGATCTCTTCTGTAGTATTTCTTACAGAAATTCTTGTAAGCAAGATAAAGAAGATTACAAGCAGAAAATGCAGAGTGAGGCCATTCAATATTGTTAATTAATTTTTAATCATATCTGAAATTATTAATGCTGCATTCGTTAAAGTAGTTTCTTGTTCATATTAACATTTTTATTATATTCTGTTTCTTATTCTTATTCGCATAAGATCTGTGTCGTTTATATAATCACGTCAGTTTAAATCTGATTTCGAAAACCGCTTTATGAAATCATTTTTTGTTGTACTGCTTGCATTTACATTGCTGAAGACAAATTTAAAGTAAAAACTAAGTGACTCATTATTTCGGTTAACATCTGATGTACCTCGATATATCTATAGGTAACGTAATAAATTATTCAGAACAAGCTTATGTAAAAAACCCTACATATCCAGCATATAATTTTATATAGATTGAAATATTGAAAATTCGGAAATGAAATCTGATAACTTATGATGATATTATATTATTGACGTCAATTTTTCCAAAATAAATAGAAAAAATTAATGCAATAATAATATATTAATGAAATTGCTCAAGTAATTATTTCTGAAAAAACACGAACCAAGACATGTAGAATGCATATGGGTATTTCTTAAACAGATAAATAACATATATCCGAACATGTTCTATATGAATATGGGTGAAGTTTACCTAACGATAATGAGTGACACAACCTTTTGTTTTTTTTAATTATGCACGTGAGTTGACCAACTTAGGGCACACGTGTTTAAAGTAACATATCAAAAGAAATCATGTGGCACGTCATTTATATTGTGATTTTGGTTTACGAACTCTGTTTTTTAATCTTTTTTTATTTATCACTTTATTTTCTTTGAATCTTTTTTGCGTTTACTCTAATTAAAGCAATTTAATGATGATTAATATGTTACAGGTGGATAGTTTTGTCTCGTTTGTAGACTGAAAATGTTTTGAAAAAGTTCTAGATTCATTTTGGTGTCAAGGGAAAATAACATGGTACATCGAAATAAAATGTTATAAACAAAAAAAAATTGTAATTATCGGAAACACAGGGGACATGAGTAGCTTTTTAATTAAAACGATAACGCATAATAAATCACATTAAAATAGAGTGTATGACAGATAAGCGTGCGTGAATTAAACTTAAAATGTTATTACCTATTCCTGTACATTATATGCTACAATAAAGAAGAAAATAATTAATAGTTTAAAATATACTACAAATGTATTAATTTATAACATGTTATGCGATATCTTTATTGTTGCGCTTCCTGATGCGAGTAAGATAGTTGTAAAAATAAAGAATGTATAGCCTCTATTGTAGCATTATCAGATTTATTGAAACGCAAATGTAAACATATATTAATTTGTTTTCTTACAGTGTAGTTTTTATATTAACTTATAATGTGTCACTTAAAAAATATTTTTTAGAGCAATTATTAAAAAAATTATATAAGCAGAATTTGTTATTGACAAATGTATCCGGCTTATGTATTTTCAAGTGTTGTAATACCAAACAATAACGTATGTTTCATTACTTACTAATTAATCTGTATTTAATATCAGATATACTATAATATAATTAATTAAATATACAGTCACATTTTTGAATAATTGCCATTGACAGCAACGTATAACACGGCCGACTAGTGGCTAATCAGTTTTTTTTTCTTAAAAACTAGGAGTTCGGTCGTGGGTTCCTTTTTTTCTGGTACCGGCTGGCCACGTGGAGTTTTCCGGGTTTTCTCCACGTCTATAACGCCTGAATAGGGGCCAGTTACTTTTAGAAGTCCTCCCGGAAGGCATTATTCTTCAAGTATAAACAAATATATATAATTACTAACTACGTCACATGACAAATGCAGGTCATATCTTACTTCGGGTCAACCTAGTAGCTTTTGCTTAACATAAAAGAAAAAAGAATACGTATGCCATTGCTGTATTTCGGAGTTAATAGACATCTCTAATCGACTCTGATTAGAGATGTCTATTATTTTGAGATTCGACTGTACATGCTTGTAATATCAATATTAAAAATATATATCTAAAATTTTTCATATGTACTCTAGATATTAAGCCAATAAAGTAATTATATTACAGTTACGTTTCTGAATTTTAATACTCTCGACTAAACAATAAATTATGCGCAGCGTGTTCCTTAACTTTTACGTTACAAGTAGAACCAGTATTGTTATCTGTTATGATATTTTATGAAAAACTTAAATTTTTAATTATTTAACATGACATCAAGCTAAATTTTGAAGTAGGAATAAAGTTTATATAAAATTATGAATGCTAATAACGCGAAAATTCGTATTTAAGTTAGACTATACTCGAGATTTAATATACAATTCTTTTCCTCTCCATACCATATCGTCTTTTGAACCAAATATAATTCTATTAATTCTTTGAAAAATCAAACCTTTAAGCTTAATTTCAAATTTATTCGACAAAAAGGACAAAAATTATTAAGCTTCCAAAAACATAAAGAAAATCGTTTCCCTAGACACAAATTGTAATATCCATATAACTTCAAACCAAAATTTTCTTGCATTCATCGACGTATAAAGTACAAAATTGTAAAAACCTTGGGGGTTCGAATATTGTCGAATTGCCATGCTTCTTCTCTGTTATAACAAGCAGAAAATCCCAACGAGATAGTTCGTTTGAAATTAGAAACATACTGCTTACAAATATGAAATTATTTATTAAATGTCATATACATTTCAGTAATTTGAAATTTTTATGGGGTTATAAGTTCCACGCCAGCCACCTCGTGAACCAATGATCGGGATAGAAGCGTGACTTTAGACCCTGTATCTATAGCCAGTCGAGCCGTATATCCGTC